TGGTTGCAGGCAGTGAGTTTTCTGTTTGTTGGTTGCAGGCAGTGAGTTTTCTACGTGGTGTTTGCAGGCAGTGAGTTTTCTACGTGGTGTTTGCAGGCAGTAAGTTTTCTGTTTGTTGGAAGAGAAATCAGCGATGGAGCTGGTGGAGAACTAAATAAACAGACAACAAGATTAAAATAACTCCTTTAACCCCAAGTAGAGCACATTATCTACTTTGTACAGTACACTATATACTGTCCCTTGTTCGTACAGTACTCTATAAATACTGTCCCTTGTTCGTACAGTACACTATATATACTGTCCCTTGTTCGTACAGTACTCTATATATACTGTCCCTTGTTCGTACAGTACTCTATAAATACTGTCCCTTGTTCGTACAGTACACTATATACTGTCCCTTGTTCGTACAGTACTCTATATATACTGTCCCTTGTTCGTACAGTACTCTATATATACTGTCCCTTGTTCGTACAGTACTCTATATATACTGTCCCTTGTTCGTACAGTACTCTATATATACTGTCCCTTGTTCGTACAGTACTCTATATATACTGTCCCTTGTTTGTACAGTACTCTATATATACTGTCCCTTGTTTGTACAGTACACTATATACTGTCCCTTGTTTGTACAGTACATCACATACTGTCCCTTGTTTATACAGTACATCACATACTGTCCCTTGTTTATACAGTACATCACATAGTGTCCCTTGTTCGTACAGTACTCTATATATTGTCCCTTGTTCGTACAGTACTCTATATATTGTCCCTTGTTCGTACAGTACACTATATACTGTCTCTTGTTTGTACAGTACATTACATACTGTCCCTTGTTCCGTATAGTACATTACATAATGTCCCTTGTCTATACAGTACATCACATACTGTCCCTTGTTTATACAATACACTATATACTGTCCCTTGTTCCGTGCTGACAATCTTCCGTTTGTTTAACAACAATACACGCTGAACAACAAGATAATCTTATGTATCGTTTGTTTATGATTGTTAACGTTTAACTGTCATTTGTAACTTTATTAATCCAACATTTTCTAAATATTAAATGCGGTTCTTCTTCTCTAAAATCTTGACTGAACTTCAACTTTCGGTATGTTTTTGGTCTTAAAACGTAGCGATAACGTAAACAGTAAAATGGAAAACCATTTACAAAGTGTTTACCTACAAATGACAGAAAACTCACTGCCTGCAAACAACAAACAGAAAACTCACTGCCTGCAAACACCACGTAGAAAACTTACTGCCTGCAAAAATATTTACCTACATACTAGAAAAAAAAAACTTTTGTTAGGGTTACCTTTACCAGACATATTACTTGTTAAAGAAAACGCTCAGAGGAGTGAATAGTACTGGTGTTTGATATGTGGTTAGTTCAATACAACAGGAAATAGCTTTATCGATAAGACCATCATACACGTGACATACAAGTTCGATTTTACGATCACATATGGCGTTGATTCCAGTAAAAACAAGAATGAGGTTCGATCATGAACATATTTTTTCCCGTTCAGTAGAGAGAGAAAAATATCATAAATACACCTTCAGAAGTTCTTCTTTCAAATCGATAAATCAGTGATGTTATCATATTAACACGACAGATGTCTTTTAACTAGGACTGGTGTTTGATACGTGGTAACTAGGACTGGTGTTGGATACGTGGTAAATAGGACTGGTGTTGATACGTGGTAAATAGGACTGGTGTTTGATACGTGGTAAATAGGACTGGTGTTTGATACGTGGTAAATAGGACTGGTGTTTGATAAGTGGTAAATAAGACTGGTGTTTGATACGTGGTAAATAAGACTGACATTTGATAAGTGGTAAGTAGGACTGGTTTTTGATACATGGTAAATAGGACTGGTTTTTGATACATGGTAAATAGGACTGGTGTTTTATACATGGTAAATAGGACTGGTGTTTGATACGAGAAACCACGTACCAAACACCAGTCCTATTTACCACGTACCAAACACCAGTCCTAGTTACCACGTACCAAACACCAGTCCTATTTACCACGTATCAAGCACCAGTCCTATTTACCACGTATCAAACACCAGTCTTATTTAAACACACCAGTCAGATGTATAACTGTTTTCAACAACAGTATCTGTGAGTAAAATCGTGTTTTTTTTTTTACACCGAAAACCGACAGGAAAGAAAAAAAAGAGTACTTTTTTTTAAAAATTGATGACTTTAGGAAAAGTTGTATACACGAGTGGCAGTCAGTAATATTTCTTATTTAACATTTAACATTTCGTTGACTTATGTAACGTCATATGAAGAGTTGAAAGTGTATTTTCATATAAATATTTCACAATAAAAAAAAAATGTTTGATTAATATACAGCGTTTATATTTGTACTGCTTGTTAATAATACTTTTTATTTTATTATTACAATTTACTGAGATGACATTTTAAAGGGTTTTCTCTACACTGTCGTATTTGCAACACGTGGTCAGTGCTCCTATTAATCTATTTCAACAAGTGCAATAATATCAGTAGCTTGTCAGCTCCACTGAACGTTCCACACGTGCGTCAAGCCGAACAGCGTTTGTCAAAGTGTTTATATTTGTTGAGAGGGTGATTTATGTGGTCAGCCTTACCCTGTTGACCTCTGTAAAACTGATACGTGTTTGTTTGCCAGCAGAGTCGCGTGCAGCGAATACGAAGTGGAACAAGTTACGTTTTGTAGAAATACGAGTGTTTTGAAATCCTGTTCCCGCCACCTGTGTGTTCGTAACAAGATCTTTGTGTAACGTGGATTTGAAATTTGAGTGGTGCTCAAACACCGCTGTTTTCATAGCTAACGTTTGACACGGACTTACTCACTTCCGGTGGGCAGCGAAATTTGACTTGAATTGACCTTCTTTGGAAAATTCCCCTCCAGCACGTGTTTTCCCTTGATCAAGTAAGAAAGGCTACTGCTTAATTTAGAGTCCCGAGAAATTCAAACTATGGAAAAATATAATAAACGAAAATGAAAAAAAGTTCAAGAAAGAATTATCTGCAGGAGTTCAGAGGTTACGTATTTTATATTTAAACGACTTTGGAGCCTCACCACGTCGTTACAGTGCATGTCCTATCTGACGATAGTGCATCTTGACAACAAACAGCCTGTACGATATTACACTACTTGTAATCAACGCAGTATTCGTTTAGTTTAATAGTGAAATTCGAAATTATTCCAGGAAACGAGTGGTTCAACAATAATTAAAAAAAAGAAAACTCGTGTTGTTCACGGCGGCTCTCTGAATGTTTGTAACCAATATGATCTTCGCACCATGCAGTCAGTCAATATTATTTGGAAAATTAATATTTTTTTAACGGATTCATTGACGTCAATGACACAGATGAAGGAATGGTCAATAAATTACTTAAATTTGCTGATGATATTAAGGTATTGGGCGTTGTTGGCTGTGAAGAGGATGCTGCTGATTTTCAAAATTTTGTATTATTTAGTGAGTTGGGTAAATAAATGGCAGATGGTCTTTAGCTATAAGGAATAGAAGATAATGCATGTAGGTTATCATAATTTGAATTATAAGTATAATTT